CTGCTATTGAGAATGCTGTGGCTTAGGTTCAGTTGTCTAGCTATGCAATTACCTTAGCGTGTAAAAAAGCGTGGAATGAGAATTTCTGGTGTGTAAACTATTGCTTTAAGCCAGCATTGACAACTGTCTGATATTTTTTGACAGGTCGCTTGTCAATCACAGCCCAGACCACGCCCAACTCTAAGCCTCCCTTCCTGTCTCCTGGTCCGCCTGGCAACATCTTTTTTTTAGAGAGAATTTCCAAATGTTCTTGCGGGCAGAGTAAGTCTGGGCATTGTTTAGTTGTCCTTTAAGAACACAGCTCTCTGTAGGGCCAGTATTCCCCTAAAAGAGACAGAACTTCATCGGTTGCAACGTTGGTTTCAATACAAAACCTGGGTGAATCAAACTAGACTGTCCTATACGTTGCCTTTATCTTAAAGTTACAAGCCTTTTTCTGAATATTGTGTTCGAAGTGTTTTACAAACACACAATGGGCAGGTTCGGGTAAACAAACTGAAATCATATTAATCATTTCCTAGGAAAGAGATTGATGCAGTACGGACCGCATGCAGCATTGTGTTGGCTAAAGAAGCAATGAATAACCTTGGAGGAGTGCCTCGTCTTCCTCAGTTTGCTAACACAGGCCGCGTCACCATCCGTCTCTCACTTAGAACAATCGAAGCGCCGCGGTGTGAGACATCTCCGCGGATGGTATGCAAATGAGCAGGTCCCCGTCTCGCTCATGTAAATGAAGGGGCCGTATCTCCCTCACTGCTCTGTCATTACACACGTGCACTACAGGACTAATATTCATGCCGAGGAGATATGATGTTGATGAAAGTGTGAACAGCTAATGGTAGCACTTTACTGTAGCTTGTGCCTTCGGGCTGTGTAATCGCTGAATTCATTTGGAGTTATTAATAGATGTAAAATAGGATAGGGGTCATTAATATGTGATTAGCGCTGCTCTTGTTCAGAGTTCACATGATGGTTATTGAAGATATGGTTTTGCTCTTTGGTTTATTATATATTGTTATAGATAAAGCTGTTCATCATGTTGTAGCTGAAATGTCTTCTATTTTAGGTTGGACATCCCATTCTTGTACATGATTATGCAGATATCTCATTGTGCACGGCTATCCTATCCTAAATTTCGGTTCCTCTCAATCACCAAGTTGATTGCAGATGCTACCTGATTAAAATAATCAGTGTCTCACTACAAAGTGAGATAATTATACATTTTTATTGATTAAAAACTACTAAATGTGGCTTCAGTGTTCAGCCTCCATGACTTTATGAAGCTCCCTTTTGCTGCAATGACGGCTTCAAATCCTTTGGGGTTTGTCTCTAGAAATTTTGCACAGCTAGAGACTAAGAGAGCATTTGTGAGCAGCAGTTTTCAGATCGGATTTAGGTCCCCTCCAGAGCAACCATGGGCCACTGATTGGGCCACAGTTTTGGCAGACGGCCGTGTCTTGGTAGTTTTGCAGTTGTACCATACTCTTTCCACATCCAGATGATATACAACCTGACAATACTTTATCCCTCCAACTTCATCCCTGACCTCTCCGGTGAGTTCTATGGACTTGATGCTGTTTAGTGACGTGATTAAAGATCAGCTGTAATCATGCTGAGACTATGTAACACTCAAGTGGCCCCTAATGGTCTGCATTTGACCACTCATTACTCATCAGGAAAAGGCAGTTGGTTTCACGCAAAGAAAGGGGACTGAAAAGTTAAGCAATTTCAACTTTGCATTTTGTGTGTGATGAAAATCATGTTTTCGCTTTACATTTGTCCACCACTTTGTTGGACTTTCAAAATAGACAATGTTGTTGTGAGAAAATTCTAATGGTAATGTCACAAATTTAAGCAAGGCATGTTTATTTGTATAGCACTGTTCATACACAATACAAAGTGCTTAACAAAAAAAGATACAATCATACAACAATCACACTGATAATCAGTAAAAAATAATGACTTAGAAATCATTATGTTGTACGCTCAGCTAAACTAAACTGTTTTTTAACCTGGATTTGGAGTAGTAGCTTGTCTCACATTTTCCGGAAGACTATCCCAGATATTAGCAGCATAAATCTGGTATGCTCCCTACCCATGTTTAGTCCTGACTCTGTTAGTCACTGTATGTCTCCTCAAACCACAGGGACATACTTTTGAAGTCGAAGTGATTTCATGTAAGAAGCTGGTTTAATAGCAGACCTTTTTATTTATTTTTTATTCATTACTAAAATCTAGCAGCTCATAGTTTTGACAACATTTCCTGATGAAGATCCGTGCGCAGCCTGTGCGAGGGCAGAGCAGTGTCACATCGTGAGGTCTAGGAACAACAGCTTGATATTTGTGCTTTGTTCCATTGTGCTCCACGAGTCTCATAGAACAAAGGTGTGTGACAACGACCGCTGAGCTGAGCTGTGACGGCCGAAAGTCTGCAGCAGGAGAGGAACGATGCGGTGGAAGGAGAATATAAAGGAGACAGGGAACGGTGCAGGTGGAAAGTTTATGTCTAAGTAGAAAGCAGGGCAATTGAATAAAAGTAAAAAGTAACTAAGAAGCAAGAGTTTCTGCATTTGGAGAGAAGCAATGTTAAAGCTGGGGTACCTACATTTCAATAAGGAGAATGATTTTAGCACACTAACAAAAAAAATATTGGAAGTGCCACGTTTATTCAACTTTAGGCTGAACAGGCCTCTCCTCTGACACACCTGATCTGTAGTCATGGATGTGCAAATCTAAAAGCTATGTAATACAATTCATTTTGTTCCTTGCTCTTAAAACATTTTGGTTCTATCACTAGTTTTCACATGCATGTATTTTTGGCGTCTGTCACGTGTTTCAGGATTGTCACATTGATCATGTTTTCAGACAGAAAAGTGAAAAAGAGAAAACCACCCTCACTCAGCCAATCAGCCCAAAGCATCAAATAGGGCTCTTTCTTCTGCTGTATGCAAACATAATTATTCTATCCCTATAAAGCACCTTTCAGAGTCACAAAGCGATGTATGATTGTTATGAGCATCTTACCTCTCTCGCTCCAATTCAATTTAATTTATTTTTGTAAATCCCAAAATCAAAACAGCCGTTGTCTCAGAGGACTTGGCATGTGGTGGATTCACAACAGATCAGAGATTCAAGCCGTTTGAACACAAGAAATGCACTTAGGAGCCATTGGTTCATAGAGAGCGGGATGAACAACGCCCATAAAGGTTAATAAATGTGATTAATGCCCCGGATTATCACTGTCTTGGGCCGTATATTATACATATTAATGAAAGAAAAAAAGTTTTGTACAATATCTTTAAATGCTGAAAACCAATAATCACTTCATTCAAAGGTAACACTTTATAACTACCCTTTATTTAGGCTTAATACATGTTTAAATAACTCTTAATTAATCATGAACAATTCATTAAGTGTGAAAAACACTTAACTACTTAACTACTACAGTTAATAAATGCTTAACTAATGATGAATACATCTTCAAGTACTTCACTTGTTCATTATTATTTAATTATTTAATAATTATGAAGTAACCATTTGTTACTACACATATAGATGATTTGTTACACCATGATTAAACCACATGTTAATGATTAATAATTGTATACTTAATTATAAACTAATACTGCAGTGTATGATTTATTCAATCAGTTACTAAATACAAGGGCACAACAACTACAACAACATACAATATATTAGAACAGGGGTCACCAACCTTTTTGAAACCAAGAGCTACTTCTCCGGTACTGATTAATGCGAAGGGCTACCAGTTTGTTACACAATTACATAAATTGCCAGAAAAAGCCAATTTGCTCAATTTACTTTTAACTCTGTTCATATTAATAATTAATGATATTTATCTTTGTGGAAACACTGATCATCTTAACGATTTCTCACAATAAATATATATAGAAACAGATAAATATCAATATGCAACATTTTTCAAATTGAACATTTTCAAACGATCACTTCTTGTGAAATCACAATATCCCATTTTAACCAACTAGCCACTAACATTTTTTTAACAAATCATGAATAACTTTGCACCATGTTTATACAAATAATAACTCATGTAAAATACAACAGTCAACTCTCGTCACACGTGATGGTGATCTCACAGGAGTTTAGAAACCAAAGCAGTCCCATTTACGCTGCTACTTTCTCCTCTTCAGAACAAAAACAACAGTGAAGCTGTTTGAGATCATTACATGTGTTTCTACTGTAGGTTTATGTGACAGTTCTAAACTCATCGTTTCAACTCATTTAACTGTGATGCTGTGAATAAAGACACAGTTCTTGTTGGAAACATAGTTATTATTAAAGTGTATTCAGCACAAACAGATAATCAATAAGTGGTAAATATCTGAGAAAAACACGAACTATAAGTGCAGTAGGAATGCAACAGACGCGATAAGCTACAACGCAAACAAGACAGGAACAGTGCAAAAGAAACAACTGCACAGTTTATAAGTTATATCAGGCTCTGCCATGAGACCAAACTACTTTTCCTTCGGTTCCTTCGAAGCACAAAGCGGTCTGCTCCGAAGTGCCTCGTCCGTGCTCCCTGCAGCCGCTCCATGCTTCCGTCCAAAACACACACACGAACCAATCACAGCGGAGCTCCTCTCACACACGGACCAATCACAGCGGAGCTTGTCTGCGGCGTTGGCCGCGTAGTATTCGAGGGTGCGTGGCAGGCTACGTAAGGGCCTTGATGTGATCCACGCGTTGCGCAAGTGACGTCACGTCACCTCCGTAAGCTCCGCGCAGCGCACTAGGCTTGAGTGCTACTATTTGAGCTATTTTTAGAACAGGCCAGCGGGCGACTCATCTGGTCCTTACGGGCGACCTGGTGCCCGCGGGCACCGCGTTGGTGACCCCTGTATTAGAAGTTGGCTTCATATTTGAATAAGGGTTACCTAGAACGGCGCTTTATGTGAATTAAAATAATGTATTAATAAGAGGAATATAAGAAATGCTAAAGGCTTGTCTCCCATCAGGTGCTGAAGTCTCTGCCCCGGATCGAGGGCCGACCTGGCGCCTCTCTGCCGGCCATGGACTTCAAGGCTCTGGAGGAGGGACTGAAGGCGACTCACGGAGACGAGATCACACCTGAGGATGTCATGTCCGCCGCCATGTACCCCAAAGTGTTCCAGGAGTACAAGGAGTTCACCTGTGAGTGGTGTCTGAACATACAGTAGCTAGCTCGTCTTGATCACAGAGAAGCTAAAGCTGAGTGTGTTTGCAGCCGTTTACGGGCCGGTGGACTGTCTCAACACCAGGCTCTTTTTGGATGGACCCAAGATCGCAGAGGAATTTGAGGTAGGCCATTGTTTTTCAGCGTTTTATTAATCAATTCCAGTAAATGACAGCCGATGAACATAGACATATTATGCAAAAATGTACTTTTTTGAGCTTTTAAGGCAAGTTGATTTTGTATAGCACAGTTCATACACAACCCACAGCAACTCATAGTGCTTAACAAATCAAGATTATATAACTGCTACCTTTTTGTAATCTCGCGAATACTTTTTTCACTTTCACTTTCTCTTTCTTAAAAGTCTGCAACAGATTACATGTTTCCTAATACGATAGCATGTTGTGGTCTGAATTGTCCACAACATTTCACTCTGTCTGATGGGACAAACAAACTTTTATATTTTAGCTAGGCCTTCACGCTTTCTCCTAGCTATCCAAGGAACGCCTCAGTATTCCCCCGGATGAGCAGGAGAAAGTGTGTGTGGCTAGTGATGTCTGGTTTTCTCTGCTGAGACTACTGACCTGCTCCCTGGCAATGGATAAAGCTGACGAAAATGGATGAATAGACTTTAGGTACTCCAGCTGTAAGAATATAGTGATACCGGTTATCTCTACCTACACAGAACCCTGCACTAGAGGTTTAAGAGGAGGCCACTTTTACACAAGCTCCTCTTCATGGCTCCTGTGTGATGTATAAAACTTTTAAAAGCTATTACCAAATCGAGTCGTTAACGGGCCAATTGAATCCCACTAAACGCCTCTAATGCCCTGAGCCAGTTAACGGTAATGGCAGGTCCTTGTTGGTGCCGTGGACGGATCGCTCTGGAGATGCTGCTTTTGTTCACTGTTGCGGATAAAATGTCCCGCCATATTCTGATCCCCAAGGACTTCACATCGGCTTTCCAACGTTCTCTTTGCCCCGGAGTCACAACCTGCTGTCTTTATTCTTTTTTGCAAAGGTAGATAAACTGTTTGGATATAGTCGCTGGGGTGTGATGATGTGATGAATGGCCTTGCGGGGCCTGAAATCACATCTGAAATATTCTTGGAAACAGAACAAAACTATTCTCTGAAATTGGCTCATTTGCCGTTCGCTTTTTTGGCACAAACAGCAATTATGAAAAAAAGTCCACTCCGAAATATTGTCAAAGTCATTTTAAACCTTGGCAAACAGTTGAATGCAAAAAAGTGGTATAAAAGTGTTGGTTTCAAAAGCATCTCAGGAAAAGTGTTTTGAATTATGATTGTGTTCTTTGTGCGCAACCCTTTGGCGCACTCTGATTCATCAGGGCCAATTATTGTTCTTTGTGGCTGTATTTATGTGAAAGCAAGATGGGGCTGTTTCACAAGTCACAAAGATAATGTGTGAGTTTGGGCACATTTAGACTTTTTGGGCGTATAAAGTTACTCAGTGACTGCAGATGAAGCCTGATGCCAGCAGATCATAGAAGCCAAGCTTGGTTTGTACTGTGATAGGAGACCTCAGAGAACACCACCATGATAAATGCTTTTTGAAGTAACTCAATAGTTTATAAGTTACAATCAAAGTAACTGAAGTTACTTGCATACTTAATGTAAGTGCACATTTGTTTTGTTTTTACAGTTTGCAATTATCCGAAGATAAATATAATATAATTATATTGGGGGGCACAGTATCTAGCACGAGTGAATAGCACTCTTGCTTCTCAGCAAGAAGGTTCTGGGTTTGAATCCCGTTCGGTACAGGGCCTTTCTGAGTTGCCTGTTTTGTTCTCTGCGTAGGTTAGCTCTGGGTGAGTGTGTGTTTGTGATTGCGAATGTTTGGAGAACGGATGCAAATTAGCCCATGGCTACAATCCAGAGAGGTGTGTTCATTAACATGCACTGTCCCAACCAAATAAACAATAAACAATTATAACAATAATTAACAATAATTTAGTAATTATAATTATTAATAATTATTTCGGCTCCAAAAACAGCAGAATTATTTGAAACAAAACTTGGATCAATATCATAAAGCAACTGTTATATATTAAACATCATGAATTAATATTGTAACACATATATATTTGTTCCCAGTCACTTGGTCAATAAATACAATACAAGTTTAGAGTAAATTACTTGGGTTTTATAAGTTTTCATCTCAATATTGATCTGAAGCGACTAAATACAAGAAACAAGCCACAGATTTCAATGAAGAAAGTTGTCGATTTGCAACAGCCACAGCAAAAAAGGACTGAGCATCCTGTTTATTCCATACTTTGTTCCATACTGAATGCTTCAAAACAAAACCCTCACCCTCAATATTGATAACGACATAAAACCTCTTCAAAATCTGTTGTATGATAATAATAATAATAATGCATTGGTTTTATATAGCGCTTTTCTGGACACTCAAAGACGCTTTACATGTCATTATTCTTTCACTCCATACACGGTGGTGATAAACTACTACTGTAGCCACAGCTGCCCTGGGGCACACTGACAGAAGCGAGGCAACCAGTATGTGCCATCGGCCCCTCTGATCACCACCAACCATTCACACACACACTAGACTCATTCTATGCAATGGGGCTGAAGTGCCTTGGCTAAGGACACAACGGCACTTTTGGCACTTTACAGCCGCAGCCGCCCCACTGTGGCTGGTGTTCCCAGAGGTTAAGTGTCTTGCCAAAGACACAACGACAGCAGACAGGCTCTGGCTCAAAGGCCAATGCTCTACCAACTGAGCTACTGTTGCCCTGATGTGTGTCTATAGTGTTGACTCGTTTCGTTGCAGTATTTTCCACTATCAATCAATCCACAAAACTTTGTTTAAAGAACTTCTCATGCAGAAACAGTGTCGTGAAAAGTGATTTCTATTTGAATAAAACGCCCCCACTGACCCTCCCCACACTCCCATTCCTTTTGTTCTGTATTTTCCTGTTTCTGCTCTAGCCGAACACCCGGTGAAATGACAGAGGCCAAGAGCATCTGCGTTTAATTACCACTTCATTTCGGCTCTGCAAAATGGCTGCGCACTGGTGTTAATTGATTTTTATATTAGAGCCCCATTCTTTCTCTTGTTTGTTATCATGAGCCAATCAGGAAATGAAGGATGGTGCTGGTTTTGTATTGACCACACGAATACAAAGGCACTTTTCAGAGCTGGGGGCGCTTGTATGTTTTAATCTATTAGTCTATTAGCACAGCCACTCTGGACCCACGCCACCACTACAAGATAAATGTGTGGGGTGAGAGACCGATGGTGATTTTAGTGCTCGCCAGGCTGTTTTGGCACTTTCAGTGCGATACACACAGAAAAGATGTAAAATTATATTCTTTCTTCTTCCTTTTACAATAATAATATAGTCACTTGCACATTAAACATACAGAGACAATTACAAAACGGCAATGTTAGTTCTGTAGACTGTACATTCATAGTGGAATGACGGTCAGCATAGTTTTTTACCAAATGCAGAAGAAGCCGTTTTGAATATAAGCTAGCAGGAGCTAATTTCTTAATATGGGCATTTGTTTCCGACACACACACTGTTGGGGCTGGTTTCACCAACAATTCTGCATAAAAGGAAGAAAAGACAAAGCGCGTAATCATTTTACTTATACATGAGAAGCCGTCACAGAGATCAAGACCCAGGTACAATCTAGTCCTTATCAGTGTGATTCCTACAGCTTCTGGGGTCTCTGTTGGCTTCAACACTCCTTATATTAAGTTTTCACACCCCTAGTTACAGGCACAAGGTCAGCCCTAAAGGGGGGGGGGGGGGAGAAACGGCTGACTTGTGGAAAAACATTGAATGTTACATTTGTTACAAACAAGATGGAGATGCACAGTTGATCAATCACTGCTTCTCGGAAAAAGACCTTCCCCAGGACAAGTTACTTTTCTTTTGTAGCCACCTGCTTCTCGATAAGTGTGACCTTCCCAGAACAATACACATCTATAATACTGTAACAAGGACTGTAAGAATATAAACATGGTTTAAAACACTCACACCTTAGGTTATACTTGTGTTTATGGTTAAAAACAAAGTAATGATAAAACATAATGATTATACATTTATTCCAACACACACATACACACAAGCTGGATTTTAACCCATGAATGAAAGTCTGATTGGTCAATCCTTATATGGCTGATCTGGATCCGTCTGGATTTACAAAAACAATATCAAAATGTAAACGCCAGGATCATGGCCCAAATAGGTGCGTGTGACAAGATAGAGGAGTTTACTTTTCAATGTGAGTCAGTCGGAGTCAGAGCGAGTTGTAGCCAAACTAAGTCCATGAGCACTTCATTGAGCGAGCGGGTTAGCATTGTCCTTCTATGAACAATCTATGGTAATTCGGTTATTGCCCATCATTAAGTTACCATAAACGGTTAATCGATACTAAACACATTTTCAACCACAGTATGTCAATAATGCATTACTTGTGATTATTATGCTACTTGGTTACCGCCCCAGAAGCATTTTACAACCTCCATCCATCCATCCATCCATTTTCTACCCTTTAATCCATTTCTGGGTCAGGGGGGTGGCAATCAGAGATGCCACCCAAGTCTCATAGCACCAGACCCTCACTGACCCTCTGCAGGTGGTGAGTCCACAGGACGGCTGCTCTCTGAGTGTGAGCATAGCCTTGATCTTTCAGCGGGGGCTTTGGGCAAAGTGGGGTTAAGTGTCTTGCCCATGGACACAACGACAGCAGTCATCAGTGGGAGTCGATGGAGAAGGTGCAGAGGTGGGAATTGAACCCACGACCTTCTGGCCTAAAGGGCCAAATACTGTTCCTTTAAGAGTTTTATGGCTAAATCGCTGGAGCTTTTCATCTGAACTTATTCAAAGTTTTATTCTGCAGTCGTTTTAAATGTATGCAGCGTGGAGTCTGACTAATAAGGCGGATGTTGACATGGCTGTTGACAACTGAGTCTAGAGGAGCGTGGGCCGCCAGTGTCACGGCAGACCCAGGAGCTAATGAATAGGTACACGAGGCTTTTATTTTTGTATTCATGCAAATCAACGCGCTCGATCTGTACAGTGAAGGCTGTTCTGTCAGTGTCGAGGAGTGAAAGACAAAGACCA